ATCTTGAAGGTTCTTTCTCTTAAACACCCAATCAAGCTTCAAAGGAATTCCACGAAAAACATGTACAATGTACAAGTATTTGGTTCAAACCCGTATGAATAATTATTAATTATGAATTATTTATTATTGAATACATATTCCCCAAAACGACCCCAGATACTTTACAATACATACATAAATGCATGCATTTTAACAAGTCTCTTTCATACATGAAAATGACAGAGGCCATATTCTAAATGTACAATATCAAAAACCCTCTCAAATTTGAAAATGGGGATTTTTGGAACGGGTAAAATGCAGATAGAACCTTATAATTCCAAGGTGACAAGTTTTTTTTTTTTGAGCCAGTCACCTGAGCTGCAAATGCCGTACGACTAATCATTCTGGAGCCGCTGCAAATGAGGTCATAATAATAATACATTTCTGACGCCACCACAAGAACAGTCCCGGGATCGACCAGCCCTTAATCACATTAGGGTCGTGAAAGTCAGACGCTCTCAGCTGAGTATACTGTACATCTGAGCATGTCTTTGGCTGGAACCCTGCAGTGAGAGTGGGTTGATGGGGATGTTTATGAATGTAAGGAAAGAAGAGATACGTGGAGCGTAGGAGTTCGAAGGAAACGGAAAGGGAGGAGGGGAGAAAAGAGAGAACGAGGGGATTACGCTTTATAATATGTTGCCTGTGTGTAAAGGGAATGAGAGCGGAGTCCCACACTGGAGCTTTATCATCTCCAAAATCAGTCAAAATAACCCTTTCCAGCATCCACCTCTGCCTCCACCTAATTTCCCAGCAGCCTCGACACTCTCCCAGACGTCTCTGTCTGCAGCGCCTGAAGACTGACAGCTTCCTCAGAAGGAGAGCTTCGTCGTTCGAGGGAGAGGTTATGAAGGAAAAACAGTATTTTTTGTTCCAGAAGTGGGAAAGCGGGGGTCATTATACAGAGCAGCTGCCGGTTTCTTCCTCTATGTCAAATTACAGAACAGGTGTTGAAAACAGCCATGCTGTGTTTCAGTACGTGTGCAGGGGCTATTGGGAAGATTTGTATCCCCTACTCATGGGGTTTTAGACTTGCAGATTCATGTCTTGAATGACATTGCAAGATTTGAACCAGGGCTTTACATTTCATTCATGCAATCCAAAACTGCAATAACATATAAGCAACCAGTCAGTAACTACACAGACTTAAGTCTCACAATTAAATATTAGCTTTATGTGATCGATTCACTAAAAAGAATGGGTTGAGAAGAATAATTCGTTTAGGGATCGGACTACATTGTTTGCACTCGGGCTCTATCATAAACCCGGCGCAATGCAGCACCAGGTGTGACGCAAGCGTGTTTTGCTAGTTTCAGTTTCAAAAACCTGATCTAGTCAATGCGCAAGTCAATGGCGCATTAGTAATATGCGCCTATAGGCGGGTCCACAACGTGTCTACACTGCTTATTACACACACAGGGACACGCAGCAGCACACAAACATGTCAAATATTAAAAATAAAAGGATTACACTATAAAAGATTATTATTGTGTACATAAAGATATGGGGCCCTATCTTGCACTCGGCGCAAATGACTTTGTACACGGACGCATGTATCATTCCTATTTTGCACCCGCGCAAAGCGGACTTTTCCCTCCACAGACGCACGTCGGTTAACTAAAAAATACACTTGCGCTCCCCGGGGCGGTTCAGCGCAAAGAGGAGGCGTGTTCCGGCGCAAACTTTCCCTCATGCTATTTTGCTGTTCTATAAAACAATTGCGCCACTGACCAGAAAAAAACTAGTCTAAAGTCAGTGGCGCGTTGCGCGTTGTTCATTATGCTATTTTAAGGGCGCATGCTTGGCCATAATCAATGTAGCGTGTGCACAACGCGCATACACGTTGATTCTCTCATCTAAGCAGCAGTTTTCATTTTTGCAAATCATACATTATTACGATAGATAGATATATAGATAGATAGATAGATAGATAGATAGATAGATAGATAGATAGATAGATAGATAGATAGATAGATAGATAGATAGATAGACAATTTATTATAAAAGCATGTAGCTTACACATTTACCCAAATTATCATACGCCTGTTTAACAGAAGTTAATTTGGGTGGGTTTCTCCATCCCCAATGTCACTTCTCTGTGTTTTACGGGCCTGACAAGAACGTTGCTCTCCTCGGCTGTGAACCGCTCCTGGCGCGCGCCTGGCAAATCCGCCGTTATAATAGGAATCCGCTTTAGAACAAGCGCGCCTGCTCTTAAAGGGAATGTGAGATGACGCTCTGATTGGTTTATTTCACGTTACGCCCAAACCACACCTATGAATAATGAAGCTACTTCAGACCAACCCCTTTTAGATTTGCGCCAGGCGCAAGAGGCATTTATCCCGCCGGGAAAATAGCAACAGCGCCGGGATCCGCCCACAAAGTTACTTGCGCTTTACGCTTTGACACTTGCGTTTCAGATCGTTAAAATAGGGCCCATGGTGGATCCGGCTTGTCCTGTAGATGGTCTGCTCGCGCGCTTCAACCTTGCGCACAAGCAGATCTGTTTCCTTGCTAGAAATGTCTTTCTGCTTGCAAATTCCGGCATGTAAATAGCAATCCGCCATGTCACGCAACTGGCTTTTAAAGGGAATGGGAGATGAGACTGATTGGTTTATTGCACGTTACGCCCAAAACACACCCATTACTCATTAAGAGAATAGGGACAACCCTTTTAGACCATGCGCCGGGCGCGCCGACCATTTTTCCCGTCGTTAAACTAGCAAAAGGGGATTCGGACACACCCTAAGTGCGCCAGTGCCGTGCGCTTTAGACCAACCATGCGCTTAGATCGTTAAAATAGGGCCCTATGTTTCTGATTCACTAAAAAAATATATAATTTTTAACATAAACTTAGTACTCCTTAGACTATTTATTGAAACTATTGAAAGTACACTAATGTTCAAAAGTTTGGGGTCAGTAAGATTTTTAAAGAAATGAATACTTTTATTCAGCAAGGATGCATTAAATTGATCAAAAGTTACAGTTATATCTATAAAGCACAAAGAAAGTATTATGTCTGCATCAGCATGAACCGTTAAAGTTAATGTTATTCGATTAATTTTCTCAAATGCCACACTAATAAAAGTCCGTATCATATGTCACATCTTCATGACTTCATTAGTTCACCTAATAACTATATTCAGTAAAAATCAATTCACTACTCAATCTTTTGTTATAAAAGCCAAAATTATCTAGCATCGACTGCAATGAACTGCTGTACCTTCAAATGTCTAAATATCTGTAATAAATAGCAGAAGAACAATGTTAGAGGAGAAAGTGTTTACTCTTGCAATGATTCATTCACATTGATGAGGACTAAGGCTAGAGATCACAGCAGCCCATTGCCTTGGTTCTCTGTAATGAAAGTCTCTGGCAGAGCTTGTACAGCTATATGCACTGGGGACGCCTGCGATATCGACCAGAGGCTCCATAATGTACTGTAATCAAGTGAGAGAATATTTTAATAGAATGAAGTCTTTTCTGTCAGCCGGCTTCTGAATATGATTTATTATTTAATATCTGATCCTTTCTAATTAGCTGCATTCTCTGCGGCCAGCCTCTGCCCTCCACTCAAACACTAGCCAATTAAAATCACCCTGGTAACGTCTTTAAAGGGTCGAGGAGCTGCAATTGCTGTTTTAAAGAGATAGCTGTGCAGTGCGTACACATTTTAAAGAATATCTCCCCATTTATGTGGGGTTACCGGAGGCTATACACCGTAAAACCTGACAAAAGGTTTATTGAGATATTTAGAGAAAAAACATTATGAAGTACGACATATGCTTTATTAAACGGTGGCTCACATTAATATGACACTTTTTTAATGTAAATAAACTTCCTTATCTTCTAGAACAAATAAGAATGTGATGGGATGTCCTTACATCAACTTGGAAAGAGTAAGTAAAATGCAGAGAGACACACTCATACAAATACAATATCTTAAAGGGTTAGTTCACCCAAAAATGAAAAAAAAAATTATTTCATCATTTACTCACCCTCATGTCATTCTTTCTAAACCTGTAAATATTTCATTTATCTTCGAAACACAAATTAAGATATTTTAATGAAATGAGAGATTTCTGTCCCTCCATTGACAGTCTACGCAACTACCACTATGACGCTTCAAAAAGATCATAAATAGATCATAAAACTAATCCATATGAATTGAGTGGTTTAGTCCAATTTTTTTTCTGAAGACACTGGATCGCTTTATATGAAGAATAGATTGAATTTAGGCTTTTATTCACATATAAACATTGATCAGCGAACAAACAGAAGCTCATCTGTACTTGCTTGATGCGCGAGAACAAACCTCATTGGTTCTTGCACATCAAGCAAGCATGATTGAGCTCCGTTTACCACAACTGATGTGTGCATTAATGAATGTTTTTATGTGAAAAAAAGCCTAAATTAATTCTGTTCATCATATAAAGCGATCGTGTCCCTTCAGAAAATTTGGACTAAACCGCACAATTCATACGGATTCGTTTTACGATCTCTTTATAAAATTTTTGAAGCGTCAAAGTGGTAGTTGCATAGACTGTCAATGGAGGGACAAAAATCACTTTGATTTCATAAAAAAAATCTTAATTTGTGTTTCAAGATGAACGAAAGTCTTACGGGTTTGGAACGACATGAGGGCGAATCAAGAATGACTGAATTTTCATTTTTAGGGCAACTAACCCTTTAAATTCAATGAAACTGGATGGGGACAAAGGGTTGTCAAGCTCCAAAAGGACAAAAACCCACCATAAAGTATCAGAAAAATAATCCAATTTAGTAGCTTAAACAAACTTTTAGTTGTTATTCCCTCCAAATCTTGCTTTTAAAACTAGATCCTTTCTAATTAGGATGGTCACCATGGAAAAGAGCAGCTAAATATCACCTTTAGTGTTCATTAAGAAAAGTAAGTCATAAGGGTTACAAAAAAACATATCTTGCATAATTAGTTTGCTCACCTTCCAACAGGACTGTTGTCTTTGCTCGCCCAACCCTCAGTTTTGGCTCTTGGGACAGGGGGCTGAAGCATCTCAGCCGCAAGGGGGTCTGAATCTTCCTCCTCGCGGCCCACCCACTCACCCACCACGCGAGGCCTCTGTACAGAGTTATACGCCCGAGGGTCCTTTCAAAGGGAGGACAAGGTGTGAAGAGCCGAAAAGGAGAGAGGAACAGGCAGAGATGTAAACATAAAACAATTTGTGGTTACACAAATGGGTGATCAATTACAGAGGTGGTAATTAAAGGGCTGATGTTGAAATATGACTCATTATCTATGCTATTTTTGTGGCCAGTCATTTTTACAGTGAATAGATTTTAATAATGGAGGACGCACATGGTGAGCAGTAATAAAAATTCAGCTTTGACATTACACTTTTCTGTAGTTTATCAGCAACAGGCAATTATGAGAAAACGTCCTCTATAACGGCACTAAGAGAAGAAATTAATTTGCTTTAATATCTAAATGTTTTAAATTTTCATTTGAAGTGCCAAATTGGGAGCAGAGGGAAGCCTGGGCAAATGGCCAAAAACACAGGCTATTAAAGTTTAAAAACTGTACTGTATTCAGAGAAATATGTTTTAACTGGGTTCTCTATTCATCTTTTTTTATTTCTATTTGAGTCTTCACACAAACAACAATCAAACTAAGCTTTTTTTTACAGCTCCTAAACAAATCCATAACAATATTTCATTTTTATTACTGCAAGACAGCATAAAAGATAAAAAGAAATAATAAGCATCATACCAGATCAAAGTCGTCAGAAACAGCAATGCCTGGCAAAGGAAATAAAATCACACATAAATGAATTAGAAAATTAGAAATTAGAAAGGTTCTCAATTGGTGTTCAGGATGGGGACCAAGCATTTTCAAAAATTTTGAGTTTTTTTTTTTAGTTGATAAGCCTACATAATATAGTTGATAAGGTAGTTGATAAATGAATAGTTGATTCAGCATATTTATAGTTGTACACTATTTTACTATTTGCTTTTGGCCCGGGATTGTTTTCTTCCTGCTGTCAGAACTTGAGACTCAATTTGGTTTTGTAATCCACCAGATGAGAACCTTTAGCTTCAACACAATGAGTTTATTTTAAAATATTTATAATAAATGTATAAATTCGAAAGGCTAAGTATAAATAATGCTCTAACAGTAGACAAATCACCATTTTACAGTACGTCACTTTTCAGACTTTCCAAGACCATGTTCAACATGTTTAATTGGTGAAAACGAGAGCCGACAGACGCCAACAGGGGTAACACACTGATCCGAGAAAACCTGCTGAAGTGTCTGTTGCAGTCTGTCAGTGTCTGTCCGTGCAGTGTGAATTAGCCTTCCATTGCTGTTTCGCACTGGATAGTTGTCGGTTCACTCACTGCGGGACAGATTCTCCAGGGCTTTGCCAAGCTTCTTGCTCTCCTGCAGTATGTGATTGAACTCATTAAAGTCTCGACCCTCAGGTTTAGTCCTCCAGTCCCAGGTAGGACGCAGTATTGAACGAGGCACTGCAACATAAAAAGAATAAAATACTTTCAAAAACTGAAAAAGCCAGATCCTTCCTGTACGGTTCAAACATTAAATTCACAATACAGCTGTGTGATTTTTGCGCACAATATTTCAGTTTTATTAAGCGTGCGATCAGATGAAGAAAGAAAACCAGTTTTCCCCCCATTCACGATGACTTTACAAGAACAACCACAACAGAAATTAAAGGAATATATAAATATTGTACTGTAAAAAACAAAAAAACAAGTATATAATAATAATAATAGTAGCAGAGATGGGGACTCGAGTTTGAGACTCGGACTCGAGTGCGACTTAAGTCCCACACACAGTGACTTCAGACTCGACTTGAGACTCGTCCTCGAAAGACTTCAGACTCGACTCGGACTCGAGCTGCGGGACTCGTGAACAATGTTTATTTTTAGGAAACGTCTGATGAGCTCGCTGTTATCCCCCTCCCTCCGTTACCTATAACCTGCCTACGTAACCACGTACTACGTCCTATTGCTGGCAGCGCGCGCGCGACCATGAGAGGATAACAAACAAAAAGTTCGACTGCACCGGCCGCTGCTGTGCCATTCATCGTTAGCTTTAGGTTCAAAAACTTCAAACAAGACGCGCTCAAAAGAAGCGCTCAATGCAAATGATGCAGTATCACGATAAAAGATTCTGGCTCAACTACATCTAATTTTATCAGGCGTCTGAAAACGCACCCTGATAGGTGAGTAAACATGTTTAGCTCAGCATTGACCATCTACCGTTAGCTTGCTTATTGCTTTAGCTACCTAACGTTACGGGAGGTTAACTCCGATTGTCTTCCTTATGAAATATGAATGAGCGATTGTTTAATTGCCAAACTTGTGGTGGTCGATTAACGTAACGTTAATCATTTACGTGCCGCTGGCTGCCCGTTGTCTACAAACAGGTTACAGGATTATTGTTGTTTATGTAACGTTACAGTTTCATTTAGTTTTAACGTTACACTGGTTTGAGAGTCTGGGATGTGTTGACTTACAGTATAACGTTAAGCTATGATTAGTTGCATAGGCAGTGCAGCCAGAAGAAGCCAGAAATGTTTTGTGGCCCATACCTAGTGAGTGTGTTAAGAGAAGAGAAGGTTAACCAGTCTGATCTCACCCTTTGGATTTTTTTATTTCTAAACATTTTGTTCTTAACAAGTTACATGCCATAAGTTGGTCAGTTGCTTCACATATACACTAAAGATTTTGAGCATTTGAATGTTTTGCAAGTGCACTGTAGTGTTAATTTCATTTGGACACAATAGTTTATTTGCATTTAGCTACACTGATGTTTTGCACTAAATAGGAGTGTGTCAATTTTAGTGTTGTGAGTTATATCATTTTCTATATTTGGTCTTATGTCTTGGTATGTTCAAGCTACAAGGCAAAATAAAGAAATTAACTAAAAGTAAAGCATTCTTGGTGTTTTTGTCATGTTGCAATAGCCTGTTTACACTGATTATATACTAAAATCAAAGCTGATACTGTATGCTAATAGATAAAGGAGTCATAATAACATATGGTACCACTTTATTTTGATAGTCCACTTTATACATTCGACTAACTATAAGTAACTTTGCAGCTGTATGTCAACTAACTCTCATTAGAGTATTAGTAGGCTTAATATCTGCTAATTATGTATTATAATATATTATTTTGTTGGTTCCCCAACAGATATTCTACTGACTATAAGTAACTTGGCAACTACAAGTCAACTTGTTCTCCAAACCCAAACCCACATCATAACCTGACAGTCTACTAATACTCTAATGAGAGTTAGTTGACATGTAGTTGAAAATGTACATAGTAGAATGTCTAAAGTGGACTATCGAAATAAAGTGTAACCTAACATATTACATGCTTCGAATTCCTTATATAAAGTTATGCAGTGTTCTAAGCAACCTGGATGGGTTGCTGTACGTGATGCAACACTTATAACCACAAGAGACTTGAGACTTGACTTGGACTCTAGCTCAAAGACTTGAGACTTGACTTGGACTCTAGCTCAGAGACTTGAGACTTGACTTGGACTCTAGCTCAGAGACTTGAGACTTGACTTGGACTCTAGCTCAGAGACTTGTGAGCATCTCTGAATAGTAGTATATAAAAATAATCAAAAAACACATAATAATTGTTGTGTATTATTAGCCAAGCTACTCTGATGACACGGGAAACAGCGGATCATACGCTGTTCACGTGTAAATGAACAATGCTGCACTTCATTATGAAACACACAGTGAGTCTGTTTATATAAATAAATCACAGCCTTCATGATTTGATAATCTCACTAATCCATATCCCTTATTGCTAGAGAATTCTTAAAAAGTTATTGCTAGATGGTGCCTAGCTCTTGCAATGTTGTAGGAAGCTATACATGAGTGAAATAAATGCTTTTTAAAATATATTTGAAAATGCAGCAACTTTTACGCAATTCACCTGGGTTACACTTCTCAGGTAGGACAGATCACATCACAAATCAACAGCAGTCTATCAACACTGGTCCCTATCAATACTTGAGCAGTTGCTGAGCATTTTAAAGACAACTATACTTTGTCCACCATCATCCAAGGACTCTTGAAAACAGTACTACTGCAAATGGTACTATTTTTGCGCTGTGCATCGCCATTGCAAAAAAAAATAAAAAATCCAACGGGTGCAGATTTTCAGACATATGAAATATCTCTGAGTCTGACTGAGAGCACTTGCAGCAAAAAGTGTAACACTGAATAATTTAGAACGCTCACAAAATCAAGCTAAATGTGCTTGCTACCGCTGTGACACTTGCTTTCAGTGCACTGCATGTTTTGCAAATGATTTCTGTTGCAGGGTGTTTTCCCATCCACCTCCAAAACACATTCCCCAAGCCTCTCAAATTGCTTTAAACGTGGCCTATGTGGACAAAAAGTGCTGTGAGGAGGAAGCAATAAGATGGCATGCAGTAAGTGTTGCATTTCCATGTCATACACACACAAAAAAAAAAAACATTTTAGACAAATAGTGTAACTCCATGACAGTGACAGTACAGGTTATCTCAGGTAACAGAACAGAACAGCTCATTAGGTTCTGCGGTCAAGCGGCATACCCATATTCTGGATACCCAGAATGACCAATTAGTGAATGTTATGATGATCTGGGAGATCATTTGGATTGATTTTAAAATGAGTAGGTTAGTTTCTTAAGACTGTGCTTATGAGCTTGATTAGCATAAAATCCTAATAGAATCCTAACAATAAATCAGGAAGATCTATAGCATGTCAGAGTCAGAAGTGTCCTGTGTGATGTGTTGCTTAGGGAGAACGGATATCTTTACCTTGTTATGTACAGTATGAGCATGAAAATGACAGATACTATACATGCTGCAGTGTGTTTCCATGTGTAAATTACACTTTGTTTATGTTTCATGTGCTGCAGAGTAACCTCTGGACTCATTATGTAAAATATCACTGCTTGGAAACCAAAAGCCTACATTTTTTAAACGTAGCTGGCACTTGAAAGATGTTAAATGAATAATTTACACAAAAAAAATACACAACATTTACTACAGCGCTCAAGTCTCATATGCACTTGCGAACATCAAAACTTGACACCAAGTGCATTTACATGTACCGGTACAACCAAATTCTCATTATAAAAACACAACAATGCATAAAACATGAAATTGAATAATGGTTTGTCTGCAACAAATTCAATAAAAGGAATTTAGGGACTTTAGAGAAGCTTCTATTTTGGTCATTAAACCTGTATAGCCTGACATATAAAGTAATAGTCAGAAATATGAATATAATTAGGGCTGTCAAATGATTAATCACATCCAAAATAAAAGTTTTTTTTTTACATAATATATGTGGGTGCATTGTGTATAATTATTTTATATATATAAATACACACACATGCTTGTATATATTTAAGAAATATTTTCATGTATATACTGTATATAGATTTATATATAATTTATATTATATATAAATATAAATATTTTATATATAAATTATATTTTTTTCTTAAATATACATGCATGTGTGTGTATTTATATATATACAAAATAATTATACACAGTGCACCCATATATTATGTAAAAAAACTTTTAAAACTTTTTGGATGTGATTAATCGTGATTAATCATTTGACAGCCCTAAATATAATATGAGCAAAACATACAATGCAATGCAATACAATGGTGATTGAGAGTTGTATAAATAAATAGTTCTTCAAAAGCCTGATGTATTGGATACTCACATTTTGACATGAATTTTTTTTTTCCAAAAAAAGTCCAGTCCAGTAAGCTCATCTTGAAATATTGCAAACAATATAAAATTTATTCTTATGTTTACTTTATAAAAATCAGTAAGGATTTCACAGCAAAAGGACATGTGTACCACAACCTGAATAAGAATGAATGATACTACAAGCCCTTTTACTTGCTAAAAAAAGTAATAACAAATAAGTAATAAAAAAAATATAAACTATTAATCAGATGACAGAAGGTATGGAGGAGTAGATTGTGTACAACAGATTTTTCTGAAGAGTTTTGATCCCATTTCATTTAGAGGCCTTAGAAATATGCGTATCAAGTATAATACAGTAGCCTTTATTGGGTTAGGAATTATTTGCATAATACTGCTTATTTACATGCACTTTTGTGATGGTTTAATTTAGGATTTTTCCCTCAAATAAAGCTCTTTTTGGTTCTTTTTAGATCTTGACCGTGTCTGTCTAAATTACTTTTATTTTAAGAAAAAGAGCAGAAAGGCTTGGAATGATATAAGGGTGAATAAATGAATAAATAATAAAAAATTTGGTTGTACTCCTTTAACGTAAAATAACAAAATGTAGAAACAATTACAAACTCACTGATGCGAAAAACATCTAAATAAGTCAGTGGGAAATGGGCTAAGGCACACATCTACAGTTTTAAATGGGGTTATACATATTTACTATCTTCCTTCGTCCCACTTCTCCAAAACTGTCCGACAGCCTCCACTCAGGCAGAAATAGAACCGCTGTCAGTAACAGAGCATCATATTAAATTATTAAAGACTCTGATATGAGTTGCTCCCTCAGCAATATGTATCACTCAGAGCTCATGCTGATGGCCTCCATAATGGCACTATCTAAAGATAGAAGTCATCATTGTTCACTAATGCACAGGCAGTCTCCTCTATTTCTGATCTCTGAAACAGCATTGCTGATCTCAGATTAACAGCCAACCAAATCACATAAAACTGATGTAATGACGCTAGCTTTTCCGATTGCAGCGGGACTCACATGATTTAGACTCGGGAGAGGGTGGGGAAATGTTGGACACAGCCAGGTCACTCTTTGATTTCTTGGGCTTCTTGGGATGGATCTGCCAGGGCTTTTCATTACCCCTGGAGTCCCGCCGTGCACCTTTGTATTCTATGGAGAGAGAAGAAGAAAACTGGTAGAGATCTGCATTTTCTCTATGTGAAAAACAGCTTGAAGGATGCTGAACGATATACACCTGAGGAGCTCTCAGCCCACAGTGCAGCAGATCCCGACAGGGTCCTCTGAATCCTGCCGGGGCTCTCCTGTTTGGTTTGCAGATGGCCAATGAGGAAAGGGATGGGGTGATCTGGTGTCTCAGTTATCAGCTTGGTCATCATCTCCTATCAGAGCCAAACAAAGAGTGATTAGAGTATAGACGTACAGCGTGTGAACAAATGCCAGAGAACTTGTGCTAAAGTAGCACATTGTCAAGCCAGCTTGCATCGTGCCCAAACTGAATCAGCAGCGTTGGCCAACTTTCAGCATCGGGAAAACTAATTACGTAATTGGTCTGGGAAATATTTGCACACTGATATTGAGCATTAAATGAGCTAAAACATGCAAGAGGATATTGCTGGAGGCTAACTGGCAATATGGAAGATCTCTTCATTGTGCAACACTAAAAATGAGATTATGTGCAGGAAAAGAAAATAGCTCATAGGCATCATCAAAATTACATTTAAAATGCATCAAGCCTTATTCAGACATGATAAGTCCGAAATCGCATACGGTCTACTATATTTGAATTTGAACATACTTTGGGACCGTTAAAAAAGAACGCTCTATATAGTATTTCAACGCATTCTCATCCCAAGTCGTCATACACTGACGCTTTTGACATTTCGTCTAAATCCAACGCACATGTCACCCTTTAGCGTCAATATAGATATGGGTAGGTTTAGGTCTGGGGTAGGGTTAGACCACTAGGAGGCGCCTTCTGGCCCATATATATCTGCGTCTCATATTGACGCTAAAGGGTGCCATGTGCATTGGATTTAGACGAAATGTCAAAAGCGTCAGTTTATGACGCCTTGGGGTGAGAACGGGCTCAGTATTTATATGGATAGTAGGAATAAAATTCGGACGTACTACATCCGCCATGTTGTTACTGTCACATGACCTATCAGCGTCAGTTGCGAGTCTGCGACGCTTCACTCTCCTTCGCAATTCCTCTCCCATGGCCTCATGGGATGTCCATAGGGTGCACACTTCAGAATCTCGATGGAAGTAGTAGGTCATCCAGTGTACTTTTCGCCTACTGTTTACTATATGTATTCGGGCATACTACTCTGCTGGCGTACTGTTTTTCGCATACTATATAGTAGGGAAGTATTTGATTTTGGACACAGAGCAAGAGTTTTCAAACTAGGGTCCAGGTCCCCAGATGGGCTGCAAAATTAGATTTCAGAATTTAAAACATAAAAAAAAAAAAGTTTAATTATGCAATTTATGTTTGCAGATTTTGACATCATTGCGGTTTCATTCTTTCAGTTTGGAAGTCATGAGAGTATAGCCCTATTATATAACTCTATAAAATGTAAACAAATGTTTTATTCTAATGACAGCACTTTTATAAAACTGTATAAAAATGTAAAAAAAAAATAATAATACACTGTTAAATTAAAGGAAGGTAAATATTTTCTAGATAATCAAATAAAAAATATCAAACAATGTATTAAAAAATAGAAAATAATATAATCCAAAAATACTTAAGTATTACATTAAAGTATATTAAATTATTTTAATATCATTTAATATTTAAATACTTTAATACTCTAATTTAAATACTTTAACTTATAATAATTCAATACTCTTTAATACTTATATTTATATATATTTTAAAATTGAAATGAAAACATGTGGTCTATATAATATCACACTTAACAATATTCTCACACAGTTTAAAGGGTCTGCTTTATATATTTTAAAAAGGGGGTCCCTTGTAGGGAGCATCATATTTGGGGGTTTCCCCATCAAAATGTTTGAACAAATAATATACCACAACACACACACACACACACACACACGTTGATTCAGACAAGATTAAAACCACAAAAACACAAATTTAACCTCCTCTGGAAAAACTAGTTTAGTCCAATTATGACGTTTAGTTATAAAAAACTAATGAAAGCATTTCATAAACAAGTCTATATAAAATAGTGCATGTGAAAACAACTTTTACCAGTCTGAGCTTTAAGTGTAGGCCCACAAAACAAAGCGTCAGTTCTGTGTTACAAGCCAGACAATCACAAATCAACAAGAAGGTAGATATAAATGCAGTAATTACGACACATAAGCCTTGTTGGGTAATTAAACTAACTTAGCAACAGGGGGTACATAAAAGAGAGATGTAATTTGTGGGTTAAGCAGGAAGTAAATTGAGCAGGGCTGTGTTAACTACCCCAGGCTCCCTGATGAGTAATTGCCCTTGTGGTAAACAGGAGAGCATGGTGTGGATTAGCACACACACTCATTTCAAAAATGTAAACCATCTGATGCTATCTGAGAGGGGTTTTCCCTGCTTACTTCACTGACCACTTTAATACGGACATCAACATGGTGACGATATGGTTGGAAGTCACAGCCAGTAAGAAAGGGACTCACTTTCAGTAAATAAGATACAGTATGATAGAGAGGCTGCATAGACTTACTCAAATTAAGGTCAAAATCCCTGCTCTGAAATAAGCTTCTCAATGGATTTTTTTGGATCATCAGGATGGAGAAACACATGATCTCTGGATCATACTGACAGACTAGGGAAATTGGCATGAAGGGAGACAATCTGAGCCTCTCTAATAGACAAACTGGCTGCAAGCCAAGTTCAGTGCCAGCTTTAAAATACCACATTCCAAAACACACTTCCTTCAGCCATTGTCAGTCTATGTCAAAGAATGTATGAAATAACATCCAGTGCCAACATACTATGGCAATACTATAGTGTAAGTACATTTTCATGCATACAACATCCAGGTGATCTACTACATCTGCCAAAAATGTGCAGGATACAGCAAAGACCATTGTGTAGAACACTGCATCCCATAATGCAATGTGCTCAGCTTGCACCTTCCATTTCCAGTATAATGAATAAACTGAAAGATTTCTAACTACACAATTCCTAACTAAATTGTATAAGGACTATTTGTTTACAACGTAAAACTGCAGCTAAATGTTGAAGTAACATCCAGATGGTTTTTATTAAACATATTACCCTTGCTCTTGCTGACACAAATTCTTTAGATATCTCCTGTTCTGTGTTAGCATCCTTGAAGCGTCTTCCTTCATCTGATTTCATGAAGATCTCAGCTGAACTATCATGAGTCATGATGAAAGCTGATACTGTCTGTTTACCACAGGCGGTCTCAGTCACTGGCATAAACTCTTCAGAAAGAAAAAGCAACAATTCCTTGTTAAAGACCCCCTGTGGTGAAAATCAAGTTTTTAATGTTGTTTATATGTCTATGTGGTGTTTTTAATATGCTTTAAGACAAACCGTGTACAAATTCATAAGTCTACACCATTGCTGAGTATTTTCTCTTTAAAACTGCAGTGAAACAAAGACAGTCTCAAAAACGTGGTTCCTTGCGTCACAAACTACCTTGTAACCAATCACGTCAACGAGCCGGCGGGCTTTAGCATATCATTAACTGCTGCAAAGCAGGGGGAGTTTTAAGAGAAGCCGGGCTATTAGCTGTTTGATAACATAGCCAAGCAAAAGGCTAATCATATTAATGACTGTTATGTGTCTGACGTTGTAAAGAGCGATACATAAAAATGCATTACCATTCTCATACATCCGACTTGTAGAGAAGCCTGTATAACTCACTCTTCCTCTCCTTCTGAATCAATTTCTGGTTCAAACATATGGCTGAATTAAACTAGTATTTCCACTTGTCATTGCACAGCGTTTACCGTACTACAGTAAAGTTGAGCGAGTGAATCTCTGAGCTGGTGTGAGTGAGTGGAGGTGGAGCTAATTTGCATATTCATGGCATATTCCGCGTCTACTAAATTAATCAAAGGTGTAGGGTTACATTCAAGCTATTTTAAGGCATGAAGGATTTTTTTTTTCACAGGAAAAAATATTTTAATATGTCATTTTGGTGATCAAAGATGAGTTTTAAGGGATACAATTATTAACTACAGGGCGATTTAAGAGATTAAAATTAATTATTTACACTTAGGGTTGGACACTTTTTATGGGAATTAACAGGAATATATTGGAAATAATGGGAATTGATAGGAATAAACTGGAAATTTTCCAAATTGCAAGTTAGCCTATAACAAGGAACTTTATAATTATTAAAAAAAAAACATCTTGCAAATGCAAATTTAGTTGAATTTCTACCCTGCAGTAATTTAATCCTCAACCACATGCACACAGGGCACAGTTACTGCAGGGCCACACCTCCTGCATGCACTGTGCATTCCTCCATCACATGCACAGATAAGTTCTAGAATCATGGGGCCTCATTTATAAAACGTGCATATACACAGTTTTAACATATTTATAAAAAAGGACTTTGATGCGGAAAAAATACTTAGCGCCATGTCAGGTTCTAAGAAGACGTACGCACTTTTCCTTACAGCAGAGAGTCGGAGTACTGCAGGTTTTTGGAAATCTAAGCAATTCTTGCTGCTCGCCATTCTCAGGTAAATGATTTTGATGTTGACTGGTGCTCTTTTATATGTTAATGACACTAATTAGGGGGCATTTACAAGGAGATCTGAAACCATTCAGCTGCGCACAGTTTCAAGATAATTTGCGATTTACACATTTCAAATAAGGAAGATCACACGTTCTCTGAATCACACGTACGCACATTGGAGAAATTATAGTAATTCAAATGTAGGACAACATCTATGCAACATTTTATAAATGAGGCCCCCGGTCACTCAGGAATCAGAGGATTATATAAACTATTTACAGTGTATAGTCTACTGACTCACTAGACACAATATGGATGCAATAAGGTATTTATACTGTATGTTGCCACTGTTGACCATGTTGAGTTTCTAACCAGAGCTCAGCATTGCCAGAGGCTGCACTCTCATTCCTCTGATTCCATCATTTATGCCTTACATCACAGCAGGGTGACGCTGACTGAAGACTGGGACAGAGTTCTGGAAGGGTTCCAGCCCTTGAGACAAGGAGGAGGAAAGAAAAAAAGTAGTACAGCCGCAGAGAGCAACACATGGACAGACATGTACATTATGTGTATAATTAAGAATTAGCCTAGTTAAAGACGACATGAAACGGAAGTTGCGATAGTGTTTTCTTCCCTATTGTGATGTATATCTGAATAAAACGGGGGTGAAAATGTAGGGCAGGACTTGATTTTGT